GTAACCACAACCTTAACCAAGGCAAATAGACTCTTCTGTTTATAATGTTAATTGTAGATATTTCCCGCAAAGCCACCTATATCTAAATCTCTTGGTCTTCCTTATTGAATAGTAAAGCCTAATTGTAATGCATAACTACTGGCAGTCCAGCCACGTACTGACTTCTTGTTACGGTCTAGCCACATTATTGTGTGATTTCACCGTCTTGTGTGACCTAAACCCTTGTATGGTCACACCTTCTTGTGTGATCTACCCCTTCATACCAGGGTACGTGTAACCTCGTTAGATCATTGATACTATATACTATGTGAAACAAAAAGTACATTTGCTGAGAGGAAGTAAGGTTCCACACTCGGCGCAGACTTTTAGTGTCAGAAAAGCTAGCGTTAAGTAGCACATTGCACACGCTTATATCTAGAATAATGCTACCACAATTTCGGCACATCAGCTTATACCCAATCAAGATATGCTGCAAAACAGCATGGTCGACTGCGTTTTTGTTCAGTGACTACGGCTTAGTCTATAATTTAGGAGTTCTAATTTGAGACAGCTTTGTCGCTTTATCTGCGATGAGTTTCCGATGCGAGATGCTCTAGGAAGTGGTGGTGATGCTTCAGGGACTCTTTCATACATATGAGACGTTTGATAGTAGTTGATACTGCTGGTTAGGCCACATAACGAAAATCTTTAACGTATTTCGACAAAGTGTTCGTACAAGAAGTCGATTATGAGAAACTACAGTGAGCCACTGAACACTTGCCAGGCGTGAAAGAGTCTATGTGCCTAAATGATTCTTTCGCCATAAAGACAAGTGTTGCTATGGCCCTGACGTAACCCCCTGTCCAGGCTGCTCTATAGGCAGCACGGTATACTGAAATGGTACGACTCATCACCAATCTCCTTAACAAGAATTATAAAAAATGTCGGGATGCAATGGAATATGCGGTGTTTAGTTTACCATGTGAATGATCATTTCACGCACGCTTCGATTCTGATTCTTCTGACCCCAAGCCGGCTGTTCCAGGTCGTCTATGACGCTCTAGCCTTCGCAATAGGCTGCCTAGTGAGCGCTATGTATTGGTGGTTCAAGGTGACTTGAGGTGTGACCAGAAATTGTCACGCATGGAAAACAAGTCAATTGGTTAAAATCTCGCCGTATGCGGCGGCACCTTTGGCCGGCCTGTCAATTTCCGCAGATGATTTGCTTATAACTTATTTGTGGTCCTTCGAGAGCCACGGCCGGTTCTACCAGTGTTATAGACTTGCGGTTCGTCTGAGTAAGATGGATCTTTTCACTTGTGTCAGCAAAACAGTGAGCGGTCAGGGTGCAGACAGGCTGTTCCGCAACAAAGTAAATCATTGATTTTGCAACGAACGTGTAATCGAGCTGATATCAGCAAGATTAACAGCTCCGCCCCCACTAAAAGCAAAGAGACATCGCAACGGTGTAAAAAGCACCCTAGATCTCACTACACTAATTATTTAAAATGCAATTTAGCCGATTGAGGCATGTAGCTTTTTTTGCGTACTTAATGTCATATTTCACCTTCTCGATCAATTCAAGTATACGGAATTGTGTTGAAACACCGAGCATCGGGAGGCTTTTGACAGGGTCAACGACAGCCTCCTGCATGCACCAATACTGGCGTTGCCGGGCCTCAATTGTCCTTTCAGTGATGTCTGTGACTCTTCGGACTTTGCCATTGTGCACTACCGCAAGCAGACGCCGAGGGGTGAGATCGGGCGATTGCGTTCGAATCTCGCCAGCTCAGGTTCTAGAGAAGAACTACCCAGTCCACCACAAAGGAATTACGTGTGATGAAATATGCACTTGTCAAGTTCAGTGTGCACCTGATCTACACAGATCATGCGTCATTTCGCACTGCGACTCAGTCGCCTCACCTTTTGCAAAGAATGGCCAGATGGCTCTCATTCTTTGCAGAATATACCTTCGAGGTGAAGTATAAGCCAGGAAAGTGCTGATGCGTTGTCACGCAGACCGGACAATGAGCTTGCTCATGTCACGACGGTGACGTCGTCAGTGACGGATTTGATTCGCGCCGAATACGCGGGTAACAAAATGTGTGTAGCGATACTACAGGCCCTTGGAAGTAAGGAGTTTGGAAACACGGACCAAAACCTGTCGGCGCGTTTGCGCACACGATTACTCCAACATTCATTAAATAACATTTTGCTGAATTAAGCGCCGGTTCGACGGATACGCCACGAATTTTGGTTCCCCACGACAAGTATCTTAAGTATCGTATCCTCTATTAGGCCAACAGCACCCCAATCAGTGGTCGCCTGGGTCGTGAGAAGACGTACAGCTCTGTGTGTTGCCACTACTGGTGGCCCAAGCTGTAAAAATGGATGAGCACATTTGTGCACGTGTGAGACGTGTCCCACTCCGAATGCTGCTGCGCCGCTGGACAGTTTACCGGTACCCTTCGGGTGTTTGCAGTCCATGAGTCTGGACTTTGAATTTGGCCTAGAAAGGACCTGGCTGGCAACACGGGTGTCGCGGTCTTCGTCGACCTTTTAATCAAGATAGCTCATCGTGCGACGGTGCCGGCTACCACCGATGGTATCGGTACGGCGACGCTGTTTGTGGATCGTGTCTTAAAAATCGAGCTCGCAGAGCATTTCGTTCGTCCAACTCAGCATGTGTAGTTGTCAGAGACCCGACCACATCGAAGTCCAACGATAGAGTGATCGCGTCCTTTGCTTCTGTAGCGGAATTTGTCGATCGGAAGCCGTATTCTACACGAGGGTCTAAACCGACAGTGGATGCGCGCGCCACGGCAGAGCCCTTCTTCGTCTCCTTCACGCGGTGCAAATTCGGACGACACGCCCACGGCTTCAGAAGAAGTGCATCACAAGGCCCTCGGCAGCCGAGCACCGCGCACCGCACCCTCCACGGGCGACGGATTAGATTTGGATAAAGTTAGCTACGAGTCGGAAACTCCATTCCCAGGATGGGAAGAAGAGAAGGGCGGCGTGAGCCAGCGACGCGATGTGAGCCCAGCTCGAACCTTGCGATAACGTGTCCGTTTCCCGATCTCTCGACTTCAATGGGATGTGGTATCACTAATAATGACCTCGGCAAGTCACAGAGACAGCAGCTGGATGCTGCCCGCAGGGCGGCTTTGGCGCTCTCAAAACCAGCAAGACTGCGTGTCTATCGTGTCCTAGACACAAGGCTCATTGAGCAGAGAATGCGTGCGGAAAGTCGCGGGGATGCAAAGGTATCTAAGACACGCGAGCCCAGTACGAGGCGACAGTTCAATGTGAATTGTGATACTCGTACTGGTTCTAAGTATAGAACGAAGGTCGCCGACCTAAGCTTAGCTTTTCCTAAGCGAAAGAGCTGCGGTAGCCCCACTGCAAATGACGTCCCACACTTTTCTTGATAAGGATAATTACCATGTATCACAATACTTGGTTCCGGGAGCTAAGCCATTTTCATGGAACCTCTATCTAGTGTAACACACACGATAGATACCTCGCCACCACGCCAAATTGCTCAGCATTTTTTGTGAGTCCGTCGGATCTTCGAGAACTACCGTACGACACCTTGCACTTAGTTCTCTGGGAGTGTTCTCAGCGACATATTTATCCATAACAGATCACGAGCTCAGTCGTGTCTCGCCGTTCTGCAATTCCATGTACAGAAATCCATGTAAAATTATACCAGCTCCATTAGAGCTTTTATCCGAGGTTTGCGGGACGGCTTACAACCCAATGATGTCCCCGGTCACTCTTTTCTTATGTGAGCAGGGTGGTCGTTACCCGTAGATCTATATTGCTTTGCACGGCTAGCCCACCACACGGTAGGCGGACTTAACAGCAACGTCACGTGATGACAACGATGGTCATTCTATATACTTTCAGGATCTGGTTCTTCTGATCAAGATTTAAAGTCGCCCTTCGGCTCCACCGGCTATGGCCGAGAGAGTTGCGACTTCCAGTCGTTATTGCCTTCCACCAACCCGCCAGAGACGTACTCTGGGTAAAACGATATATAGTTGTCCTTTATATTGTCTCATCATTAGACCTCGGCCTACTGTCGCTGTTGCCTCTTGAGCTCTGCCCGAGGATGGTACGGCTACAAGTGCTATTTTATTTCTGAGCATCTTACGTCATGCATGGAAATTATCGCAGCTCTATGCCCGCGCCAAAAGCGTTTCTGTATCCTGGCCAAATTGCTCTAACGACTTGGTAATGATCTACCAGGAGAGAAGTGTGTGACACCTAAGACTTCTGACTTCCAGCTGCCCCATGGACTGTTGCATTCCTATCACACCAAACCATGATTAAGATCATATCTCCAATCCACGTCAACGATTATACAAAAATTCCATGCTGTCAAAGTCTCAAACTTCACATGAAGTTTCAACAGATTATTGACACTTTCTCAGCTACCGCTCCGGCCCTAGAAGGTCTAGACGCTCAACATTTGCAGTCTCTCGGTGGATGTTTCATCGGCGCCCGGTTTTAGCGGTACTCCCACGCATTATTAGAGCTGGTGGGTCCTTTGGTCACTAACTAACTGATTGCATCGAGATCTAAGACAGGCAAAAGATTTTCAAGCTAGTATATTTATCTTGGAAACAGGTACTTGAACATATCATATCCAAGTCTTTTATGACTTGATCGTGGCTAGACTACCTCAAGAGTGTCATGTATAAGTACAAAATAGTACAGTGTGTATGTACCCCGGCACAATGCGCGTGTTTACAGTGTCTCCTCTATAGACCCTCTTTTTTCTAACTTGTCAAGGTTGTAATCAATCGCGACGAAAGAAAGCGCAATTTTAAGCACAATCACTGTGCTTCTAAGACAACTACGTACACCGCATGCCTATTCGCACGGCCTGCAAAGTAAGGTTACGTCGAACAACTTAACAAAAAAGTGACTAAAATTAGAATGTCTTTATTCGATAGCAATAAAGGTCAAATATTTTGTTAGCTGTAAAATTTGCAGCCAATACGATTTCATTTATGACGAAAAAGGAGCCTTGGCGCGGCAACTCCCGAATCGTCAACGAGCGGCAACTTGCACTCATTGTCAATTCGGGCCTAGAGTTGCAGAGCGCTGGTGCACGTGAGCTGCAAGTGGACGATGATTGGGACGATCGCCTGAATTTACAGGTCAAAATCATGTATGCAAAGTGCTTTTACCGAAAACTTTTGTCCGGCATCGAGTAAACAATATGCTTATGCAGGAACGTCGTGGGTACAGTAGATCTAAAAACGCCACTGGAGCTTAAGACGATTGCATTACATGCACGAAATGCTGAGTATAATCCTAAGGTGCTTTG